GAGGTCATTAGAGGTCATTAGAGGTCATTATAGTTCAATTTTATTTTATTATAGGAATTTCGAACCCTAGTTAGGCGTGCACCCAAAAAATTGGAAGATTTGAACCAAAAATGAAGGCAGGGCCCCCCCCCCTTACATCAAATGTGCCAACTCCACCATCCCCTTTTCATTTTTGAATTAACAAAAGATATCAAGATGGAACTTAAGCTTAGATTTACCCCCCCCCCCCTTTAGTAGTTCTAGGGAATATAAACTCCGTAGATCATTTATTGACTATATAACAGGGGTATAAAGTTGTTAAACAAACAACTGCATACATTGGATGGCCGAAGAAATGATAATGATACGCTGCATTGCACACAATTTTTACTCTTACGTACTCTGTACTGTGTTGAGTGTAAACTGTACAGTATACACGAGTGTACAGTGTATGTACGATGAATTTTACACAATGTACTGTGTACACTGAAATGTTTCCACTTTTCAGTGTATAATGAATTGTTTGCACTGTACAGTGTACACTGAATTGTTTGCACTGTACAATGTACACTGAATTCTTTGCACTGTACAGTGTACACTGAATTGTTTGGACTGTACAGTGTAAACTGAATTGTTTACACTGTACAGTGTACACTGAATTGTTTGGACTGTACAGTGTACACTGAATTCTTTGCACTATACAGTGAACACTGATTTGTTTGCACTGTACAGTGTACACTGAATTCTTTGCACTGTACAGTGTTCAATGTACAGTGTACACTGAATTCTTTGCACTGTACAGTGAACACTGAGTTGCTTGCACTGTACAGTGTACAGTGTACACTGAATTCTTTGCACTGTACAGTGTACACTGAATTCTTTGCACTGTACAGTGTTCAATGTACAGTGTACACTGAATTCTTTGCACTGTACAGTGAACACTGAGTTGCTTGCACTGTACAGTGTACAGTGTACACTGAATTCTTTGCACTGTACAGTGAACACTGAGTTGCTTGCACTGTACAGTGTACACTGAGTTCTTTGCACTATACAGTGTTCTGTGTACAGTGTACACTGAATTGTATGTAAATCTTATCGTATAATTACATACCTGCTGAGTGGTTTGCAGCTTTGGCCGCCAGGACAGGATTTTCATATTGTGTTCTCCTGTAGATGATCAATAGTAGTAAAAGAAAATGATGAAGGATCCATATTGAATTGTTAAATAGTGTTTTTTGCACTTTGTACTGCAGGATTGTGTACTACAGGATTGTGTACTGCATGTGGTGAACTTGGGATTGTTTTGCAAAACATCAGATTCAAATTTCAGAAATCTATGCCAATGCAAAATCAGCAGTACACATTCCTGAATTAAGATTTTACTGTGAGTTCATGGCAGGAAATCTATTTTTATTGGGCCAATAGGTTTCTTCAGGTTTCCCATATTTTTCAACAATACAAACAATTTTTTATCTACTAGAGAATCAAATCAAATCGAAAGATCGGTTTCCTTCGGAATTTCCGAATTGAATTTTAAGATTTTAACCCTTTCTCTGCTGGGGTACTTGAAAACCAGGATATGCTGGGGGGGGGGGGGAATNATGATATATCATTGGAAAGCTCTTGTGCTCTACTTTTAGAATCTGCAAAAAAGTTTGCAAATTTGTAAAAATTGAATTTTTTATTGCAAAATCAAGAAAAACTAAAAATGTGCAAATTTCCTTTGACAGGTTGTTTGCAAAAAATTTGCAATTTTTTTTTCTCGCAAAACTTTATCAAAATCTGACAAGTGTAAGTGGGTCAAAACAAAGATTTAGTTTGTTACAGGAAAAAGCAGTCATTCAGGCAGTGTGCCTGAGGAATCAGACAGTTAGTATTAAAGCCCGGTCTTAGGCCTAAAAGGAGGGCTTTGGGTATGTAGGATAAGTCAGAAAATTTCAACAGCCTCAGACGAATACTTTTTAAGTTATGTAAAAAAAAAACTACAGGGGGGGGGGTCAATTTGACCCCCCCCCAGCAGGAATAGGGTTAAAGGGGGGTAATTTCGGGGATCTATAATTTACTATAAATTTTCCCCCCTTTATCAAATAAAGAATTTTTTTGTTGTTATTTTCATCGCTGTTTTGGAGAAAACGAATGGGGAAATCAACGGCTTGAGAGAAAAAAACAAGTGAAATTTGTGGCAATAATAATCAACAATGAGTTTCTTTTTTTCTTCTCAAATCAATGACATCCATATATCCAGAGGATTACTTAATTCGAACTTGACGGATTTCTTAACGGAATGAAAAATCTTGATGTATTTCTACTATTTATCCCTGTTAACATGATCTATATAATATATTCCATAATGGGGATCATCAATCCTCTCCCAACCAAAGGGTAGCTCGTTGTCCTCGCAGTCCTCCGGCCTCCTCTTCTGCACCCTGGACAGGCGTGGGTCCAACCAGTGAGAAGTACCTAAAGTAAAATTGAAAATTAAAATATTTTAGTTGGAAAAAATCTAGAAAACATATTTCCAAAACTGATTTTAAGTCGATTTAAAAAAAGCTTTCTAAACAGGACCGGTTTAATGTATTGCCTAAAAAGATAGAATTATAATCTTGAAAAGAGCTCTGATCGACCCCCTCCCTCATTCATATTCAATAGAATTGCAAATACATACATATATTATCAAGTTACATAAATATAAGGCTTGATGCATAAGGACCTTGCATGTCCTGAAGCCATGTTTTATGAATAATTATAACAGATTAACAGTCTTCAAATAAATTTATTCAAGCCAAACATATTGGCAATCCCCTNCCCCCCCCCCCCCGGCTAGTGAAAAATTCAGTGATAAATTATGTCAGCATAATTTCGCAATATATAATTGCGCATCTAGAGGTTTAGCAATATTTATGCAAGGCTGCAAGATTCGCTATCAAAAAGTACACAGTGTTAGTGCCTGGTTAATATTTAAAGGCAAATTAACATTATTGATATTGATATTAATGATTGATTGAAATTTTCTTGCCTCTATCAACATGTAAGTAATAAGTATGAGTACAATTTGAACTTTTCATAATTAACCCACTTTTAAAGTTTCCCCTTCCATAATTCCCCAAGGAGTTAAATTCCTTAAAATTTCCCCAATCCCTGAAACGGTAGAATTAATCAATGTTTCCCCATAAATATGAAGAAAAATAACCCAGTTCAGATACTATAACATTTTTAAAAGTTCTCTTTTAGGAAGGAACTTCAAAACGAAAAATGACACTTTAAATGTTCCCTAAGTAATAACAATATCCGCCCCTGCTTTTACAATAGAATATTTTACATAATATATACATTCCTTTTACACAAAAGAGATCTCTATCTATTTTCTACATGGATTATTATTGATTAAATACAAATGGAAAGAACTGGGAAAACATACTGTAAGAAAACTAGTAAACCCTGATTAACCATTGTCATGGAAGAAAATCCGGTTTTTACGACGACTAGCTTGGAATGAGTAGGAAACAGAATTTACTGAGTTGAATTTGAATTATAAGCTGTATAATCATAACAATGTATGTATTGTACGACTAACATATATTTTAAAATAACTATCCTATCGCATTTCTCAAAGTTATGAAGATATTTTTTAAAAATTTTAACACCTCCAATCGACGATTTACAGTATTTTAAGTTTGTTTTATTTTTTAGACTAGCATTAAAATGAAAAATCACACTACAGCACGTTAAACTACGTTAAACTAAAGAAAAAAATCACGCTACAGCACGTTAAAACTAATGAAAAAAAATCACACTACAGCACGTTAAACTCAAGAAAAATCACACTGAAGCACGTTAAACTAAAGAAAAATCACACTCAGCACGTTAAACTATTGAAAAAATCACACTACAGCACGTTAAACTCAAGAAAAAATCACACTGAAGCACGTTAAACTAAAGAAAAATTACACTACAGTACGTTAAACTAAAGAAAATTCACATTACAGCACGTTAAACTAAAGAAAAATTACACTACAGCACGTTAAACTAAAGAAAAATCACATTACAGCACGTTAAAATAAAAAAATTGCACGTGAGTAGTCAGTAGTATCAGTAGTATCAGTAGTTTAAGAGTCAGTAGTATCAGTAGTATCAGTAGTATCAATAGTATCAGTATTATCAGTAGTATCAGTAGTTTAAGTAGTATCAGTAGTATCAGTAGTATCAGTAGTATCAGTAGTATCAGTAGTATAAGTAGTATCAGTAGTATAAGTAGTATCAGTAGTATAAGTAGTATAAGTAGTATTAGTAGTGAAAGTAGTATCATTAGTATCAGTAGTGTAAGTAGTTTCAGTAGTATAAGTAGTTTAAGTAGTATCAGTAGTTTAAGTAGTATCAGCAGTATCAGCAGTGTAAGTAGTATCAGTAGTATAAGTAGTATCAGTAGTATCAGTAGTATAGTTCGCAGTGATAGAAATATCTTACAGACAAAAATTGTCCCGAATAAAAGTTATCTTAAGACCAATTGTCTAAGTCTATATTAGATAAGTTTTCTGTATTATTATTTCCAGTTGTAGTATCCATTTTCTTTAGAAAGTAAAACAATATTACTCAATTTATAACTTTTTCTTTATATATTGATCTTTATTTATAGTCCGAGTGACTCGACTCTAATTAGAAAAGAATAAGACAGAAAAGTTTTTCAGATTGTTTTTAAAATTAGGGCTCACATTTAAATCAATCAGTAAACTCAAAAAAAAATCTTATCTTACCAATTGTTTTTGGCTTAAGTCGGAACAAATTTACAAAAGTTTTGAAGCTCTATTTATAAAAGCTTTAAGCTTGCTAAACTATTTATTAATTTATCAACTTTTTCATAAATAGAAAGTAGAAACATTACTAAAAGAAAGGCTTCAGAATTATTACGTAGATAGATTAAGAAGGGTGTACATTTCGGATTAATTACAAGTTAAATGTTTCAATTAATTAATTCAGCTCAACTAAATTGTGGATCGTTAAACAGACAAATTCGACCGTTATTAGTTTGTTTAATATTCAGACATATTTCTGCAACGAACCCTTAACACCCCATGCACAGTGATATCCAAAGGTTTCAAGCCCTCAATGGATGCTGGAAGAAGACTAAGAGGGTCCAATGGTTGCTGGAAGAAAACTATGAGGGTCCAATGGCTGCTGGAAGAAGACTATGAGGGTCCAATGGATGCTGGAAGAAGACTAAGAGGGTCCAATGGATGCTAGAAGAAGACCATGAGGGTCCAATGGATGCTGGCAGAAGACTATGAGGATCCAATGGATGCTGGAAGAAGGCTATGAGGGTCCAATGGATGCTGGAAGAAGACTATGAGGATCCAATGGATGCTGGAAGAAGACTATGAGGGTCCAATGGCTGCTGGAAGAAGACTATGAGGGTCCAATGGATGCTGGAAGAAGACTAAGAGGGTCCAATGGATGCTGGAAGAAGACTATGAGGGTCCAATGGATGCTGGGAGAAGACTATGAGGATCCAATGGATGCTGGAAGAAGACTATGAGGATCCAATGGATGCTGGAAGAAGACTATGAGGGTCCAATGGATGCTGGAAGAAGACTATGAGGGTCCAATGGCTGTTAAGATTGTTAAGGGGCCGGTCAAATTGATGACTAAAGGAGTTTGAGTGGACCAAAGGTCCATGGGCTCGGCTGGAGACGGTTGGGAAAATATAAGGAATGTTTAAAGTTCCATCGAGTTTAGGGAATTCAAGGGATGCCGGAAAGGTCTGGCGGTTTAGTAGAGTCCAAGCAAGGTCGGAAGTGTCCTTAAAAAGTAACTGAGAGCTCTAGTCACGAGTGTATCACAAATATTCAATTAATCAAACCATAATAAGGGAGAGTCATCGTTGTTTGGCTTCTTACACAACTTCATGTCTTATTATAGAGAATGAAAAGGATTCCGACTTCAACAATGTACATTGAACATTGTATATCAAGTGGCGAATTCAGGGGGGGGGGCTATTAGCGCTCGCCCCCCTGACTCAGTCAAATCTTTAGTTTCCAGGTTTTTTATTGGGCCTCAAAGTATGCCCCCTTAACAATTCCTGTGTTTAACATTGTACACGTAAGATTTCAAAATTTAGAACAAATTTTAAGTTTTTCTATACAATTACCATTTTGGAAAATATAAATGAAAAAAGGAAAAAAGGAAAGCCGAATAAAATTAACGTCAAAGAACAGATTAGAAAACCAGTTTAAATAAATATAAAGTTAACCTAACTGGAAAGAAACTTCACACTTGCCTCATACTCTGGTTTTGTGATCAGATAGCAAAGATATACGGATTTCAGTTAACAGTAGTTGAAGCTACTTGTGCTTGTAATATACGGAATTAAAATTACCCCCTTTGGGGAATTAAATCGAATTTTGCATTTTTATCATTAGACCCCAGTTTCTAATTTAAATTTCTAAATATAAAACAGCGGGCAATTAATATTTGGTGCATTTTAATTTTATTTGTGCATTTAACTGATTTACAAGGACTAATAAAATCAAGGTATTAAATTCAGTGTACACCGTATAATGTAAGTAATATACAAAAAAGGGGGCTTCAAATATCCTTTCTATTAAAAAATGTAAGCGCTGTTAACCGTTGCTCTTTAAGCCGCCATTTTTCTTTGTAAATCGTATTTCGCGGATTTTTCTACTTATAATTGCCAACTTTTTAAACATGATAAATTTCGACATTTTTTTCAGGGCAAAATTTTTTCATTTTTAACCATACATAAACTTTCCCTGGAGTTATACGAGTTCCCACAAAAAGTTAAGACACGATCGTTTCAGCCGTTTATTGGGCACAAACAGACAGACAAATCATTAAAGAATGTATATAGAAGACGTACAATCTACATACTGTACTTTAAACAGACAGACAGATAAGCAAAGTATGTATATAGAAGACGGAAAATCTACATGCTGTACTTTATACAGACAAACAGATAAGCAAAAGTATATAGAAAACGTACAATCTACATGCTGTACCTTTAACAGACAAACAGATCAGCAAAGTATGTATAAGAAAACGTACAATCTGCATGCTGTACTTTAAATTGAGTGTGAAGAATTCTAATGGAATGAAGCGTCACTGATATTTAAAACACAACATTTTTCTTTTAAAAATTCTTTAAATTTTTAAATCGGAGGAAACAAACAGGGAATTGTTAGAAGCCTCTAATTAAGAGAGAAGTATTTACACTAAGTTTGTTAATTAGCTGCTTTGTTTACAATTTCTTTTTGTTTGCAAAGAAGAGAACACCGTTTAATGAAAAGATTGAATGTTATTGAAATAAGTTTTCGATATGTTATTATTATTTTTAAAAGATTTTATTTAGGAAAAAGAAAAATTATCATAAAATAATCAAATTTGAATGTTGTAAAAGCTGAAGGGGGGCAGGGAGGGATACATTTATTTATCTTATTTCAAGGAACTTAAATTTCAAAATTAAGTAACCCTCCATTTATAGAGTGGCATGTCCGATTCACAACTGTACCCTTTATACCTCTGTCTGAACAGGGCTGAAAGAGATATCCTTATTTCTGTAGCTAAACAATATAATTTTCAATCGTAGTTTCTCTGTGTCTTGCAGATTTATGTTGTATTAGGAAAATTAGAGAAATTAATTTCAGATGAAAAAATAATGATATCTTCTCATTGTTATTCAGAATAAAGGTTTAAGAGATACCGTAGTGAATCGGACTCAACACTTAAAACTCATCTACAGTCCCTTTAATTACATTTTATACCTGTATTATGGTCTATAAAATATTGCTCGCCCTTGTCTGTGCAGGCCCTCTCCCAGTTGTGGGGCAGAGGTCCCAACCCGTCCCCCGCATCATTGCTGTTACCCTGTTGTTTGGGCAGCGAGGTCTGGTCTGTTGCACCGCTGTCAGGGCTCCCACCTAAACATGACATCAATGACAGCCGTCTTAAATGATTTAACAGATATAAAACATATGTTCGTTCTCCTTCACAAAAACTTGATTAGGGGAGTTGAAAGTTATGTACTCATTTTGTGTGTGCTATTTTCGACTTTTTTTGTACTTCAATCTTCTTTCCCTTAACTACAATCTTTCTTCAGCTTCCTCCTTTGTTTTGCTTAAACTGACAAATTTGATGATATTCAATAATGTATTGTCAATAAAGTAACTTGCGGATTTATTCCGCAGAGACAGGAAGGAAAATAGTCAAACCTTACAAGATAAAGCTTAAAGGGTACTGTTGTGAATACAACATGCAACTTTTACTATTGCCTAGTCATATTAGTTTACCTTTTGGAATCCACTTCTTTCTTAGACTGACATTTTCTTATGAACTATTCTTAACCATCGACTATTTTTAACTATCATTTCTTTTAAAAGAACTATTTTATTTTGTCTTGAATGTTACTTCTTTATGTCTACTAAGTATTATTACAATCTCCCACCCAACCCCTTCACCCCAGGCAATCAGTAAATATGATTGTAAACAGTCCTTGCTCAAGGTACCGTTGGAATCCTGTGCAAAGCAAGACCCTGAGCTAAGGATTAAAATATCTGTAATACAACACTCAACCAACCCCTTCAGAAAAATGGTAATATCAATGAGAGTTTAGAGCAAACTGGGTGAAAATTGTTCTTCTCATTACCCCTCCAACCTGGGCATTCAACCATTATTTTCAGTCATTAAACAAGGTTTGAGAACATTTTTGAAATTCCGACATTACTTGGGCAAATGTTGACCATTGTATTTAATAGAGAAGATTAGGGCGCAGATAGGATTAAGGGTGCAGGCTAGGATATTTACGGTGAAAGTAAACTTAGGTTTCTTAACGGGTAAAAATTAAATAAAAAATATGCAGAATGGACGGACTTACAAATTAAACAGTTCATGTTTGTTTTATTTAAGGGTTAAATAAACAGTTAAGGATTATATGCTCATTTCACGAGAGACCGTTAAAGATAGAACCCCTCCCCTTCCTCCCTCTAGACCACACCCAGGGTCGGAGTAAAACCCTTGAGTTCTCTACTCAACCTGGATCAATCTGTTCTGAATCTGAATCCTTGTCATGTGACAAGGATTGTAAACAGCATGAGACAGACATCACACATCATCAACAATCATCTTTACGTCTTCATCGTGCTAATTATACTCGTACATGTACACAGTGTACATACAACCATGTACATATGATATGTACGCTCACTTGAAGGTCACAGGTTTTGCTGAATAACTAAATATTTAGCTAACCTCACTGCAGAACCGAGTTATGACGTTTGATATTTTTAACCCTTTGCACATACTAAGGTTTCACTGTTGGTAAAAAAACCGGTATATACTGTCTTATATCAGAGAGATGTTATCACGAATTTATTATATCTTATCACATTGTACCCACATGGATTACAATCATGTACCCCTCTGTACACTCAGGAATGCAGAGGGTCCTTTTAACCCTGTAGTAAGTACATAACTAACTAGACTAACTCGAGGCTAACTATGGGTACAGGATGATTGAACTGTATGACAAGAAGAACCTAGACCCTGTGACACAAGGATACATAAGGATACTCCTCATCTGTCATGTATTGTTTAGTTCTCCTGGATCACTTTCTCTCTAGGATAGATGTTTAGATAGATAGATAGATGTGTGAAGGAGGGTTTAGGGCTAGGACTGGCCTAACTGCCTATACTGCCTAACTGCCTGAACTGGACTGAGTTACCGACGTCTGGGCACCAGCATACACCATACCCGGCCCATACAGAGGGGATATTCAGGGGCCCATACAGGAGGAGATTCAGGGGTTCATACAGGAGGATATTCAGGGGCCCATACAGGAGGAGATTCAGGGGTTCATACAGGAGGATATTCAGAGGTCCATGCAGGAGGATATTCAGGGGTCCATACAGGAGGATATTCAGAGGCCAGTACAGGGGGATATTCAGGGGTACATACAGGAGGATATTCAGGGGCCCATACAGGAGGATATTCAGGAGCCCGTACAGGGGGATATTCAGAGGTCCATGCAGGAGGATATTCAGGGGCCCATACAAAAGGATATTCAGGGGTCCATGCAGGAGGATATTTAGGGGCCCATACAGGAGGATATTCAGGGGCCCGTACAGGGGGATATTCTGGGGCCCATGCAAAGGAATATTCGGGGGTCCATAAAGGAGTCATATAGGAGAATATTCAGTGGCCAATACAGGGGGATATTCAGGGGTCCATACAGGAGGATATTCAGGGGTCCATACAGGAGGATATTCAGGGGTCCATACAGGAGGATATTCTGGGGCCCATAAAAGAATGTTATTCAGGGGTCAATACAGGAGGATATTCTGGAGCCCATACAAGAGGGATATTCAGGGGTCCATACTGGGGTCATATAGGAGAATATTCAGGGGCCAATACAGGGGGATATTCAGTGACACATACAGGGGGATATTCAAGGGCCATACAGGAGGATATAGGGGCCCATTCAGGGGATATTTAGAGGCACAAATAGGGGGTATATATACAATAAGGGAGGAAAATTTACAAATATTTCAGAATAAAGTTTTTAAAAACAAGAAATAGAGAAAGAATAATTTTAAGTATAATACAAAGAAATGATAAAAAAAGATAACGCTTAACGGGGGCCAGTCTGAATAAGCATAAAATAAAATCCTAACTTAACAACAATTCCCCTTAGCTGAGAAATATATGAAATATGAAAACCAAGTTTCCAATCCCATCTTCTGATACTATTCGCCAACTAATCCTTCCCTTCCTCGTGATCAAATCTTAATTCCCAATCTACCCACACTACCCCCCTCCCCTTCATTTCATCTACACCTGATATACTTCAACTTAAATTCCATTAATTTGAAGAAATTCCTTGATCTGCTTCCCCCCCCCCCCCCC